ACTGGCACCCGTCCCTCGCGATCACTGGATCCGAGCCCCTCACGAACTCTGGCGTGCGCCTCACGGCGGAGGCTTGCCGGCCGTCCTGTCGTCCACCGGAGCGTTCGGTTTGACGGGTGCACGTCGCCTCCACAAGGGCACCGTCTTGGGGGGCGGCTCCACCCGTTTCAGCTCGTCGTTGTCCGCGTTGCCGTCGTCTCGGGTCCTCTTCGCTGCCACGCTGCCAGCCGGAGTGTCGGCCATGGCCACGTCGTCAGCAGTCTTCTTGATGACGGATTTGTCGTCGTCGACTTCCGCCCCGGTTGGTGCGGGTGCTGCCGCCTCCGACTCTTCCTGGCGCGCCCCTTGCTCCATCGCGGAAGCAGGTGCCTCCGAGTCCATGACGCCTGAGCTGGCTCCTCCTTCTGATGTCGATGGGGTGTTCGCCCCCGGGTCCGTGTTGACCGTGGAGCCGGTGGCTGCATCCTCGGTTGCACCTCGGGGCGCGGCACTCCTTCCGGATGTGCCCGGTCTGCTGACACCGGAGGCACAGCGGGGCCCTGCCAGGGACGACGACGAGCACGAGCTCGCCACCCACCCGCAGCTGGTGCGGGATGTCTTCGCAGGTTACTCCTGCCTTCAGCCGTAGTACCGCCGTCCGCGTCATGGTACCAACGCTCTGGCAGCCGTCCACGCGCCACCGCTCCCTTGTGACCTCGAGAACTCGGCCGTAGGGCGTCAGGGCCTCCCTCACGTCGTCGTCGGCCACGTTGAAGAGGAGCCAGTGGAGTTTTACCCTTACGTCTTGGTGGGAGGGGTCGACGACAACGCATCGGCGACCCTTAACGATGAGCTCGGTTGTCTCCAGCATCTTCTTTTTTCCTTCCGCCGACTTGAAGGTTACCGCCCACACGTGATTCATTTGGTACGCTTCCATGGCCGAAACCTCGGGGAGCGTACCGTGACGATGCAGCGCGTCCCGGAAATCTTCAACGCGATACGGTCGACCTTTCATGTCAGCGTGTAAGAAAACTGTATTTAAAACAACATACCCGGTGGGCAGGGGAGGCAGCATAAACTGATTATCTTGGGCCTCTTCGAACCTGATACCGCGGCCGGCGTGGGCCGCTGGAACCGCTCCGTCGGAGCACATGATAACACGTCCGCACTGTGCGGCAGCCGGAAGTCCGGAGCCACCGAGGCGGCTGTGCCGTTTTCTAGTATTTTCGTGTGGTTTCATAGCTGGGAGCTGGCTTTAACAAGGCGGTAAGTTGGGCTAGTTGGTTTAACATCGTCAAACGTGAAAACAGCTGGCTTCACTTGGAGAAAGGATTTAGAGTCCCGTTTGGCCCGCTTCAAACTGATGACGTCGGCTCGCTCCATGGGACAGTTAATGCTTTTGCATTAATAGAAAAAAAGGTTTCTTGAATGCACAACCCCACGCTGTTTGTCTAGGTTGCGAAAACTTTGAACACTCAGGGTGAGGATGTGCAATAGCATAAAGAAAAAAAAGATGCATAGGGACATTTAGAATTCAAGGTCACTGGAGCCCTCCATGTCGGAGTCCTCCGAGCTGTCTTTGGGCACCAGGGGCTTCTTTTTGACCGCCGCGTAGCTCGGTGCGTCTGTGCCGCTGCTGGTACTCGGGAATCCGCACTTGGCCTCATGGCGGTCGCACTCCATCGTCGTGTCGACGGCGGACGGCGCTCCAGCAGGCGTACCTGCAAACGCGGCGTTGGCGGTTAGCGGCACCAGGGTGCCGGAAGTCGCCGAAACACTAGTGGATGCGGGCGAAGGCGGGAGAGGCCCTTGGCCGGGTGTCACTTCATCGTTCTCGACTACGACAAGCCGTTCAGCATCGTGGCTCAGGCTGCCCGCTTCACTCGACTGAAAGTCACGGACAGTGACCGGGTTGCCTTGAGGTGGGGGCAAGTTTTGTGGGCGGACGGACGAACTCGGGTCATCCTTAGGTTGCTCTGACGCCGGGGAGACAACGGGGGCAGTTGCAGTATCCTGGGGCGGCGCGCGAGATGGTCGGGCGGATGTCGACTGGGTGATGGCAGCGTAGGTCTTGCGTAGTGCGCAGTCCACCGTCGCGTGGACATGCCCACACCGCTGGCATTATTCCATGCGGCCGGCTGTTGCGTGCCCAAAGACCGCACACCGGTCACACCGTGCGGTTTTGCAGGCCGCCCCCCATGTGGCCCTCCTGCCCACACTTGCTGCACACTCGCCACAGTCCTCTGTAGTCCACCATAACGTGGTGGCCTTAGGTGTTGATAAAGTTGAGGATGGGTTTGGTCATCTCCACCTTCACCACCCTGGTGCCGGTCATGATGTCCGGGCGGTCCCGGAAGGTCACCTAGGAAATACTCTTCACTTTTCCATATGTGCTGAGGGCTTGGACGACGGCTTCCACGGTCACGTAAGGGGGCAGACGGTAGACGGACATGTGGACGAGTCGGGCGCCAACGGGCTCTAGAGGAACCACCACGTTGCCAAGCATCAAGTGTCCTTAAGCTACTTAACAGTCGGCAACAGATGATGCTGATGGCCGCCATAAACCTCGCCCACCGTGGTGCAGGAGGTACTTCAAGCCACCGGGGCCGGCGGCTACTTGGAACGCGTTCATTATCGCGTCGACTGCAGTATCGCTTGGAACGTTGAGTAAAAAAGCACTTTGCCCTCGTCAACACGGTAGGTGTCGCAATAACTTACAAAAACAAACCCCGGGGACCGTGCAACAAATAGAATCCCGAAAACGCAGTTAAAAAAAAAAAACAAAAAAACTTCTCGCCGGTTTTTGATTTTACGAGCGCGTTTCAAATTCATCCTCAAATTCAATACTGCAGCCGGGCTAACGCTGTTCGAAGCGCCAACCATCTTGCTCGCTGCGGCGTGTCTTGCAACAGCAGTTCAAAACATGGCTGCAGTGGGCTAGAAGGATACGCTTCAAACAGTATTTCCGAATCTAGAGATTGTCAGCGGATGCTGACGTGTGTCAGCGCATGTCTTAGAAGGGATCACGCTCTCTATGGGAGTCTGCCAACTGAGTTGATCGAGTAACGTTAATACAGCCCAGGTGCGATCCACGGGGTTTTTAGTTAGGCAGCCCAAGTCGGGACTGCCCATGCTTTGCCACCGTGGAGCCCACACCGTTTCTAACTTGGCCCCCGTGGAGCCGTGGTGGGACCCACGGGGCTATTACACGGGGAGTCCTAGTCGGGCATGTCCAGGCTTTGCCGTCGTAAAACCCACACCGTTGCTAACTTGGCCTCCGCAGAGCCCAGGTGGGACACACGAGGGTTTTACATCGGAAGCCCAAGCCGGGCATGCCCACGCTTTGAGACCGCGGAGCCCACACCGTTGGTAACTTGGCCCCCACGGAGCCGAGGTGGGACCATCTGAGCTTCCACATGGGCAGCCCAAGTCGGGCATGCTCACGCTTTTCCGCCATGGAGCTCCCATCTTTGTAAACCTGGGCCCAGCACAGCCGAGGCAGGACCCACGGGGTTTTACATGGGCTGTACAAGTTGGGCATGCCTACGCTTTGGCGCAATGGAGACCCTATCTTTAATCTTGAGCCCAGCACAGCCGAGGCGGGACCCACGGGGGTTTTACATGGGCTTCCCAATTTGGGCATGCCCATGCTTTGGCGCCATGGAGACCCCATCCCCCTAAACTTGGCCCCGCAGAGCCGAGGTGGGACCCACGGGGGCTTTAGATGGACAGCCCAACTCGGGCACGCCCGCGCTTAACCGCCATCATTGCCTTTGGCCTCCGTTGAGTCGATGTATGTCCCACGGGGGTTTTATATGGGCTGCCCAAGTTCGGTATGCCCGCGATTTGCCGCCATGGAGCCCACATCTCCGCAAACTTGGCTCCCGCAAAGCCGGGGTGGGACCCACGGGGGTGTTTAGATGGGTAGCCCAACTCGGGCACGCCAACCCTTAGCCACAGTGAAGCCCACATCATTGCCTTTGGCCTCCGTAGAGCCGAGGTGGGACCCACGCGGGATTTACAGGGGCAGCCCAAGTCGGGCATGCCTGCGCTTTGCTGCCGTGGCGTCCACATAATTGCAACTTGGCCTCCGCACTGCCGAGGTGGGACTTGCGGGGGTGCCCATGTCTTGCCCCTATCTTCGCTCACTCTGCCCCCGCTTTGCCGAGGTGGGACCAAAGGTGGTACTGCATGGGCAGATCCAAGTTAGGAATGCCCAGACTTTGACCGCCTCAAGCCCACATCTGCGCTTACTCTGCCCCCTCATAGCCGAAGACGGACCCTCGGCAGTATTGCACGGGCAGCTCAAATTGGGCATGCCCTCGCGTAGCTGAGGTGGGGCCCACGGGAATATTGCATGGGCAGCCCAAGTTGGGCATGCCCACGCTTCGCCCACGTGGGGCCAACATGGGTTTTATAGGGGCTGCCCGAGCCCTCATTGCCCACGTGGGTCCCACATCTAGCCCCACCTCTTGTGCTATTTGGGTCTCATCGTAGGGGACAAGAGCTCAGTCGTAAGCAAACAAGGCTGGGGCGATAGGCAGGAGGATGCAAAACGCAAAAACATCATTCATACAGCGATATCTCTAACAGGTGGACACATTTCTAAAAAAGAAGTGCGTGATTGAACACGACCGAGGAGGTCCCGATCCCCTTCTCTTCGCTTCGTCCCCTCGAGCAGTGAACCGAAGCGAGGAGGAGAGAAGCGAAACCGCTTCCCCTCATTCTCAACTGTTCCAGGGGCATCTTGGCGTCATAGCCCTCGCTTGACCTCACCCTTATTTTCCAAAAATACAGCCATCCGTTTGAGATATCGATGTATGAGTGATGTCTTAGAGTTCGTAGCGTTCCGTTCAACACTTCTGCGGAATTATTTTGCGAAATCCTGATTTCGGTTCAGTGTGTTTGTTTGCTTTAAGTGTGTTCGTATCGTGTCTGTATATAATCGCCTAAATTCTCGCCCTCCTCCACACTGTGTAAACGAACGCTGCTCGTGTTCGTTTGTGGCATTTCTGTTTTGTTTAACTATAGTGGGCCACGCACTTGAAAGTTCTGTAGAGCACCCTGGTTTTTCCCATGTCCTGGAGGGGCCTCAGGTTAGCCACCAGGTGCGCGTTGCAGCTGATGTCTTCTGAGAAGGCGTATAGTCGCCTGAAAAGTTTCACCTGGCCGGGAAAAGAACGTGGGATAATTTTGTCGAAACATTCACAAGTAACAACCACTGTGCTCTCCGAGTTCGGTGAAAGTTAAGCAACTGGAAGTTCGATGCTTGTCCCAGAAGTTGGGCATCTGCTGTACTTCCTAGTGCATTCAGTCGATATTTGGGTCTATGTTTTGCTGTGTCTTTGAGTGGGTTTTAATAATCCAGGTTTGAATTAAATTGAGAAAATAAGGCATATTAGAACGTGGGACATATGCACGTTTGCTCAACTAGAATTTTAAAATGTCCTCATCGAATGGCTTCCCACGAGACTTCTCAGTTCTGCATGCGCTGTTACTTCGCAACAAGCAGGCTACTCTTAAGATGACCAGAAAAAATCCAGCGCCTTTGGTGCTGTTTTAACCAGCACTCGGAAGAATTGAAAAGCCTGTCAAGCGCTCACTTCTGGGAAAAGCCGCTTACTTCTGGTGTCCTCACACCTGTTTGCTCAATGCGCCATCCAGCCCCCTAGTGGAGATTAGCGGTCACAATGGGCCAATCCACTGACAGTGCCGACGGAGCCGGCGTTGCTCCACGAACGTCACTTCGTCCATAGTGGAAGTCTTCTACCACAGATGTTGTTTACACGTTTTGTTTGATTACACGACGAATGTATCGCAGTCATGGGCGGTATTCGCCGCAATGTTTCTCGCCTCTTAGGGTCCACTACAAAGTTTGTTATCAAAACTTAACATCAAGGTGGAATGTCACTCCTTTAGCTACTTAATGCCCCCAACACTGAAAGATGAAAAAGTCAGTCAAACCTTTCGAGTTAATTAGCTAACTAATTAGCCGTTTTCGCCTATTTTCTAGTGATTCCCATGAGGAGAGCAAGTCGTCTGCTTCTTGCGCAGGAGTTGCGGTGACGTCAGAATGACGCCGAGTTCTGATTGGCTATGACTAGAAGGATAGTGGGTAGACCTCAATGCTAGATGCCTTAGGGTCTACCCACTATTTTTTTTTTTCAATCAGCCAATAAGATCTCGGCGTTCTGACATCATCGCAACCCCTGTGCAAGAAGCAGACGAACTTGAGCTCCGCATTGACACAAACGTAAAACCAGGGCTAAAAGAACCCTGAAAGTATAGACAAATATTTTGTCGAAAAAAAAAATATTTTGACCCTTTGAGGCCATGAGGCAGCCTACCTGCTCCCTTCCGATGTACGAGGGTTTTCGGAAGACGAGCCAGAGTACGTCTTCCGAGCACGGAGGTACCGTGCGGGAACCGTCGTACATGTAGTAGTGGTCGGTGTCGTTGGGAATCAGGGCTTCCAACCGGATGGGTAGACTCGGTCGAGATCTGTCCAAGGCATAGGCCACCGAGCTCAATGGCGAGACCAGGGTCATCAACTCCGTGTTCCGATGCCGCGTCGTCTGCACACAGGTCGCGCGGACACCAGAACTTGTATTGAGGCTTATTTGTGTACATTATACGCAAATTACACCTTTCCAGCGTCGTCACCCCTGAGGAAGAAGTCGCGCCACATGGCTGTGGACGCAAATCCGACGTCTGATGTTCCGGGTAAGAGAGCTACTTCGTAGGCTCAGAACGCGTGCAACAGCCCAGTAGGCAAAGATGGCAGCGATACGAAAACGATTTTTGGAGTGGTCTATGCCTGGAGTGAACGCAATACGTTCAAGTTTCCTATGCGGGTAGAAATGAAGGGAGAGGAGGAGTCGAGAGCGCACGGGGACACTGCAGAACGCCGAGCTCTGGTTGGAATGACTAGAGGGTAGACGCAAAGCTAGCTGCCGTTGTCTCTACTCCTTTGTTCGAAAGCGGTCGAACGCGAACGCCGGTCGCCGGTCGCCGGTCGCCGGTATTCGATGTTCCAACGCGTGCGAAGTGTGGGTAGAGGAAAAGCCTGCTAGCTTTCTGTCTACCCGTGAATCATTCCAACCAGAGCTTGGCGCTCTGGCATCACCACTTTCTCTCTCTCTCTCTCTCTCGGTTCTTACCCGCATAGTATGCAGGTCGTATTTGTCTCGTACAACCGAAAACATTGACTCAGTTTGCGCTTAATAACTTCTCCCTCTTTCCCCACGGCGAGTGAGCCAAGAATTCATAGTTGGGAAAGACGGCGTGAGCGACCACAAACGTCGCAGTGGTCAGTCTTGCACCAGTGCCTCGCACGATTGGCCAAGCGCTCAATCTCGTGGAGTTAACATTACTTTCATCGACGGAAATAACAGACACAACATACTGTTAACTCAGAAAGTGTTGGTTTAAAACCGTGATAAATCTAGACTTCCACCGTGCTTTTAACAAGCACCATCGAAGTTGTCGTTCGCAACTGATAATCTTGGTTGTGACGTCACGAGTATGAACCATAAAAGGACGCCAGGGAAACATCTCACCACCACTAAAGAGTATTCACTGGCGGCCTTAGTTCTGTTTTTAGGTCAAGCAAGTGCTCACAGCAAAGGTTCGCTAGATTCATCTTGCATAGTCAAGTGTTGCTCATGGAGAATGATACTTCACTGAACACACAGCGCGTGCTAATGATGGTATAAGACGGGCATAGAGGTTGTTCAATTTTCTCGTTGCGAGCTATAGTCATAGGGTTATTACAATGTAAGCTAGAGGTTCAAATGGCGCCAGTGCGCTGTCGCAAATTGAAGCCGACAGCAACCAGTCGAAAATTGACTTCCGGTAATGCATTTGTAAAAAAAAAGGTGAGTAAATTTTTCTCTTTGCGTTTGATTATAAGAGCAAATGTCACAGATATTTAGTACGTACTAGGTAGCTTGGAACATTTCTCAGTCAAGCCGACGAAATAATTGGTCAGTTACGGCGCTTTTCTTTCTTTTTATTTATTTAAATACCTTAAGAACCCTAGAGTTAGGGTATTACATAAGGGAGTGGGGTTATAGGAGATGTGATGATAACAATTCGCGGAATGAGCCGATGTCTTGGGTGGAGACGATGATTTCAGGCAGGCCGTTCAAACTCATTGCATTAAAAATGGTGCTAAAATGGCTTCGTAAATGTATTTATGTGCGCTGTCGGAGACTGTTAGCGCGAACACGACGTCGGCGCTTTTCAGCATGGGCACATTAGTGCCGAACGAACGAAGGACATCTGGAAACCAAGGAAGACGGCAAGAACTGCGCAGTCACACTGGATCAGTAACTCCCGGTGCATGTACGCTCAAAATAAATTAAAGGTCACGTTATATAGCCTGATTCTCAATATGTGATTACTGCTTTATTCTTTCTGCTCTGTGCGAAGATGGTTGTTCTACGCTCAAAACATCACCCGCATGCTCGAAATCTTTGCGAACAAGTCCTTAATAAAAGCTGACCGGCACAGAAAACAGGCAAACACACCAATCATAGCCCACGTACTTTATTTTTTACGTTTGGAATGTTTTTTACCGCTCGTAAAGATTCAAGACGAGACCATTTTCATATAGTGACAAGAGTGGCATATTAGCAATATGTAAGCGTCACCGGAATGCTGGCAAACCTCGAAATCACTCTATATTCCTTTCGATTATTACTTGGCTTAGGCTCGTCGCTTAGTTTTATATACTTGCTGTACAGGTTTAAACGTGAAATATGGCGAAGTTAAACATCGTTCACTGATAAAGAAAAATAGGTAACTAAAGGAATAGAAGTTTTATGATGTTAATAAAGGTACATACTATTCGGTACGACCGAAATATTCAAAGTGTTTCGTGTTATTTTCCGGTAAGAGGCAAAATGCGCGCGCGTTTTTCTTTAGAAATGCATGGGAGCAGCTCAAAAGCAGACTGTTTGCTATCTGCTTCGATTTGCGTCACGGAAGTCGCATATACACTAGCGCCAGTTGAACCTCTAGCGTACATTATAATAGCTCTATTGCTCGAGCTTCCTATTTCGAGAATGGTTTGGCGGCTCGTGAGTTTCCCGTGTGAACGCACAGCCAAAGCACGACGGAAGCCAACGAACGCCTGCTGAAAGCTAGCCATTCGATATATACTTCGACTTCTCCTAAGTTCCTGGAGCTGTGGCATAGTGCTTTTGCTGAGGTACACAAAGAATCACCGATGCCCAAGTAACCTCTTTCTTGAGAGTCGTCAAAACAATCGGGGTGGAGAGAAAAAAGGTGAGGAACTTAAAGGAGCACATAAATGGATTTTTGAGTTCGTCGCTTTATTGTGCGAACTGAATCCACGCGGGGGGGGGGGGGGGGGTGTTTGAATCTCGACCGAGTTGCCCGCAATAAGACGGAGGCTTATTGCGGAGAAGGCGCCGTGTAACCGAGCTTTCGGTTGCACGTCAAAAGATCCCCAGGTGGTCGAAATTAATCCTCAGTCCTCCGCTGAGGCGTGCCAGATGCCCGTCGTAAGTTTGGCACATAAAACTCCAAAATTTGACTTTTTTCTAAATCCGCGCGCCCTGAGTGTCCTAAAAACTGAATATTACGATCATGCGTGACCTTATTTAAAATGCGATCACACGATGTTCAACGTTTAATCGCGTGTTTCAGAAAAAAGACGGCCATGCGTGACTGTATGTTTAAGGTTTTTATTATACGCCACATACGGCGCATAAATTGAGATTTCACTATAGAAAAAGGACTAAACCACTTCAGTGTCTTAATTTACAACGAAAATAACGAAAATATTAAGAGTGGGTGCATGTTTTTTTTTCATTAACATGTAATTAATTATGCGAAGCGCAGGTTGCACCACCGGTACGAAATAACTTTTCTTTTGAACAACGCTGCATCCAGGCATCATTGGCGTGGAGTTTTACCGAATTCTACAAATTTATAATTCCGTGTCCTCTTTGTATGCCCTGCTGGCTGGGATCACCTGGAACTGCGTGGCCACGCTGACGAAGGCCGGAGGGCAGACCTTGCAGTCGGCCCGGGCCGACGGGGTCCGCAGCTTGAAGAGCAGTTGAGCCTGCGTGGTTAGCACCCGATGCTGGTTAGCACATTTCTCCCGATAATGGGTGCCTTTACGCAGTCTTACGCTGACGAGGCATAAGCTATTGCGGGCGCCTTTTTGGTCGTAAGCCGTCTTTATTCACCATGCAGATCAAATCAAATCCGCCAACAAATAGCTCCGTGTTATCATGGTTGCTTTCTTAGATTTTCGGTTGATAGAAGAATCCCACCGCGAAATAATCCGCGCCTTTAATTTTTATTTTATTTTATGGAACATCCTAGAGAGGCCGTGTTATGTATTTACGAAGTTCGCTGGGCGATTTATGGAGCGTGTAATTATCGAACCCAAAATACGATGTGAGCTGGAACAACGTGCATGATCATTAATACTTGCTTCAAATATAGTTGTCATCTAAGCTGAACATTTCTTGGTTCTTTTTATGTTTTGGCAATGCAGTCAATATGAAATTCTATAGAGGGCAGGGTACAGATGTGCTATGCCCAAATTTTTTATTGCACAATGTAAGGTTGATACCGCAGCTACACAAGTTTAAATAGAATAATATTAAAAAAATGAACCTAGTTCTTCTTCGAAAATATGAAAAAGAAATCTTGGTCTTATATTGAAGATTAGTCAATCAAAGTGGGACTGAAAACAAAATTTATAGGTCGTAAGAATACTTAAAAAAAAAACAAAAAACACTAGCTCGTGATTGTTTTTTTTATACTTTATGATTTTCGTGCCTACGGCAATGACGCCAGTTAAATGGCGACGGTTTGCGGGTTCATCTCTGTTATTTTGGCCTGCTTTTTGGCTTTCACGAGACCTCTGCGCAAACTTCATGCTCCAGATCACTGCAGAATACTGCAACTTGACCTGCGCTAAAACTGTGATCACGCAATAAATGACATGCTATCACGGGAACTTCCGCACACATGCACAACATGATGCCGCACATTTGACAGGCAAACGGCGAGTCGGATATTATCCAGAAAGACGCCCATATGATTCTTTCTCCTGAATACGTTTGTTACATTTTTATGGCCTCAAATAAACAAGATTTAAATCATATTTATAAGCCAAAGACAGATAAAAATTACTAGGCAATTGTGTTCCATACGTGAAACTTATCTATCATCACAAACGTTTGGCACTACTCTGAGTTTCACGTATTCAGGGCTGATAAACCTGGCAATTTTCCAAAGCCTTCCATACTCACAAACTCCTCTCTCAGGCCTGGTTCACACTTGCGAATCAGCGGGCGAATCTGCAAGAATTCGGCTGCCGGGCGTAGCGTCCACTGTGCATTGCGCGGCCGATTCCGCTTCGGTGGCAGCGGATTAGCTGTAAGTGTGAACCAGGCCTCACTGTGCGCACAGGTGGCCTAGATCCTACTCTCCTAACCCTCAGGTCACGTGACCTACCCCTTTACCCAATCAGCTTCGAGCTTCGCGCCCACGCTTATCAGGCTTCACTAAATGCTGAGCACCGATAACCAAAGAACGTTTCACGTTAAAATGTGCAACCACACATGACGAAATGACAGTAGAACGCCACAGACAATGGTATTAGTATTTAATAAACAATGCAAATTTACATTAAACATGATTCATTGCCTGTGGCACAAGCAGCCCTTATTTATCAACACAAACGAAAGCACGCGCAAAAAAAAAATCATGTTGTAGTTTTGGTTTTGTTTCCACCTAAATTATAAAAAAAACTTACAAAAAAAGCAAAAGCAAAACAAAAAAACAACAGACCCTGTGTTTTAATTGAAAGCGGTGAGACGCTGCCCCCGGTTGTTTGAAAGGCTATCGCATTTAAAACAAGAACATGAGAAGTGCACTGCGCGCTCTCTATGCGCCCTCACCATTGCAATATAAGCGGTTTTGCTCCTAGTGATGCGGCGCTCTATTATTTCTAATCCATATAAACTTAACATGATCAAAAGAACAAGGATTTATATGCTTGCCGGCCATCCATTTAAATAAAACCGAAGTGAAAAATAAACAAGACTCGTATCTTCACGGTCAACCATGTTGGAAAACTATTGCCGAGCCATATACAAGAACCGTAGAGAACAGCCTTCTGTCCCTTCCATCTCGGAACTCAGGAGGTCACCTCCAGGGCGTAGCTGTTTCCGTCGATGATGTGCTCGCTGCCGCTGTGGTCGTCCCGTCCCCAGTGGAAATCCGCCTGTTCGAACACGTACTCCTCCGTCAAGATGCCGCCCGAGATGATCGGCTTGGGCATCGATGACTTGAGGCGTACTGCACATAAGATTCATACGCATACGCAAGCACCTAAGTTGGCTCTCATAAGGTTACGTTAATACGGATGGAAGTGCTTTGAATAAACGCTACATACTTTATTATAATTAGTTCGTGAGAAATCAGAGAAGCAGAAGGCCACATAGAAAAATTAAGCGGGTTTTGTCTATGAAGACACTTTAAGAGTGGGGCAAAACGAAAACAGCACAAACTGAAGCAGGGGCAGGTCGAATAAACATACACACCATCGCCTGGTGCATACGCTTCTTTGGGTTCTTCTTGTAGTTTTAGCGCTGGTTTTATTTTACCGTGCGTCACCAACTTACCCAAGTGTACACTCTTCTACTTTAAGAGCGTCTGGATATGTTTATTAAGTCAATGTTTCCAAGCTTAGACTGAAATCGACAGCAGTGCTACAATCGAGGCTTGCGCGATTAACAATTCAAATGGATACACTTCTGTAACATAACGTGACGGCTTCCATTCAGTAAAGTAGATTGTTGGGCTAGTTGGTTTTGGAACTTGGAATACATTTTAGCGCTCAAAACACAAGGACAGAAAGACGAGAGTCAGACACCACAGTGCGCTACTAACTGATTTAATTACATGAAACGTCATTTATATACCATCCGTGTTTCTGATATCACCCAATCACTAGCCAACCCGATGCCAGGCCGCATCATTGAGGAAGGCACGTTCCCTGTCAAGTAGATGAATTGAAGCCACGCTGACACATGCTGCCCCACCCTTCCTAATCTCATCTGTCTCGACTATCTCCCTCACAGTTTTTTCCTTGTTCCTCGCCAGAATCTTGCACTCGGAAAACAACGGCACACACTTGCAGCTTTGACAATTTCCTACTTTAAGTAGGAAATTATCGGGACGGACATCTGTCCGATCATTAATTTCCTACTTAAAGTAGGAAATTGTCGAAGCTGCAAGTGTGTGCCATTGTTTTCCGAGTGCAAGATTCTGGCGAGGCGCAAGGAAAGAAACTGTGAGGAAGGGTCAAGGCAGATGAGATTAAGAGAGGTGGGGCAGCATGTGTCAGCGTGGCTTCAATTCATCTACTTGACAAGGAACGTGCCTTCCTCAATGACGCGGCCTGGCATCGGGTTGGCTAGTGATGGGGTGATATCAGAAACACGGTTGGCATACAAGTGACGTTTCGTGTCATAAAATCAGTAACCTAGGTGACGTAAAATCTAAACGGCGCACCACCACCACCAATAAAATCAGTTGTTAGTAGCGCACTGTAGTGTGTGACTCTCGTGTTTGTCCTTGTGTTTTGAGCGCTAAAATGTATTCCGGGCTTCCATCCGACGAGTTCAACATAAACTGAAGGCATAAAAACTCAGGAGTTTTGTTTGTTTTAGGGTTGTGCGAATATTCGAAATTTCGAATAGTAGTTTCGAATAATACATTATTCGATATTCGCTTTGAGAAGAACTGCACTATTCGTGTTTTTTGAAGTGTTGATTGCGGCGGGTTGGTCCCGTTGAGTACGCTTCTTGCCAAGCACCGGTGCCCTGCGGAGAAGCAGTACCCGCAAAAGCGAGCTCCGCGGGTATTGCTTCTCCGCAGCGTACCGGTGCTTTGTAAGAAGCGCACTCAACGGGGTAACACGTCGCGATAAACACTTGGAAAAGTATGAATATCGTAATTGCGTGCTTGGAAGTAAAGCATACATTCAAATCAGGATGGTGCACCTGTGCCGACTGTATGTGAAAATAAATTAAAACTTTGTGAATGTGTATATCTACATTGCAGCAAAAGGTTTAAAATTACAGTGTTATGCAAGAGTATTCTATGTTAGGCAGAGATGCCCTCACAACCTGCGTTCATGATGCACGATTCATTCTTTTTACCTCGAGAATAAAGAAATAATATTGTATATAGCAATATTTGTAAATTAACACCATTGGTTATAGTTGGCCATCTTTACAGGATTCATTTTATGTCAAATCCGTCGTTTACTTGCCATCCGAAGACACGAGAGCTTCTGAGGTCACAGTTCATAAATATAGATGGACTAAACTTAGCTTATAAATGAACAAGTGAAACAACCTTCACAAGTTTAGCTGGTTTTTTGCCTAAGCATTATGCAATGGTAGTGAAAGGCGTGGAAAAACTATTCAATTTTCGATTCGAAAATATTCGGCCAAAACCGCTATTCGCATCGAATTCGCTTCGAACTCAAAATCCACTATTCGCACAAGACTAGTTTTTTTTTTTGTGGCTTTTTCGCGGTTTGGCGGTGGGGGGTTGTAGGGTCGAGGTGCTGGGGCCGCGTACATGTTCTTCCGGTGTTCTGAATGACGGGATTTGCGAGTGGCGAGCGGAAGTGTTTGAAGTGGAGCCTGGGCAGCGTGATTCCGATGGACTTGTGCGGCAAGAGGAGGACCGGGGACTGACGCTGCCCGTTACACGAGCTCCACTCCTGGCCCCACTCTCGAGGAACTGCGCACAAGAAAGGCCATTTTTTGGCATCACGATTACATTACAGTAAAATTTAAAAAAAAGAAAGACGTTTACAACTTCCTGCAACGCCGATTCAGAGCGCAGCTCTTGAGGAGGAGGAGGAGTGGGAACTGAGGGGAGGGCATTCCTTCTCCTCATCTGTACCCTCTCCTCCTCTCCTCCTCCTTCTTTCACGCGCGAAACGCGCGTCGTCACGCGACGTTTCGGCGCGGTGCATTATGGGGCGTTTCCCATAATGCACCGCGCGGCGACGCCGACGCTGGTCAAGCCGGAAACGGCCGGGCGCCTAAGAGCTGAGCTCTAAAAAGATTTTTGAAAGAGCTGTACTGATGTTTGCCCCGACGCCTATGAAATTGTTTTTTTTTTGTTAAAGACAACAACAACAGCAACAATACTTTTTGTTGGACACGATATGCCGGATAAAATTTTGCTTCGTTTAATTAAAGTTTGCTTACCCACAGCCTCGAAGAGACGTGTTTACATCTAGGTGTGGCAACAAGGCGGTTGATTTACCTCAATAGAAATACTTAAAATTTGGAATTTGACAAGCTCTCTGCTTCGCACAGCGGCATCAGGCAGCAATCAACTCGCTACGAAGACACAACAATGACGTTCTCCTTGCCGTATCTTTCAATTATATTTTCCCTTCACCTCAGTCTCGTATAATAACAGGACAGGATCGAAAGAACAATCGTGGTAGTAGTTGGCTCCTGGGACGGCATAGGAAAGCAACAACCGGAGATACCAATGATCAGCGATACAGGCGCTGCATGCCGAAGACATCGATGCCATGTTTGTAGTTTACAACTTTGTCTACGCGGTGTCTAGATACAGCTGTATCGTATAAAATCATAAATAAATACTGAATTAGGCATGAGGAAGATACATAGAAAGGGGGGACGGACACGAAGTCTTCGTGTCCGTCCCCCCTTTCTATGTATCTTCCTCATGTCTAATTACCGTTACCAACACGCTCGTTTTGTACTTAAATACTGAATCTTTCCTGTTTCAAAAACATTGCCGAGCCACACTTAGAAGCGTGACTCGTGACTTAATCTATAGTTTTTTTAATTTTTATTAGAATCGCAACCGGTACGACGGGGCGTTATGTTTCTAGGAGGACATCCATGGAACCCACAATGACATCAATAGTAATATTAGCGTGTTTATTATAGTCGCTGAAAGCTTAAAAAACGCAGGATCTGACTTATGATGTTCCCTCCTCTTTATTCGCGGTTCGGCGCTCTTATCTGCTCAGTCACAATCTTATTGCTTGTGAAGCGATGATAAGATGCTAGGTACAAACCACGTCTGGTGCTTTTTAAGCTCTAAATCAATATAACTTACTGATTCTGTACGACGTACTGACATATCCTAACATTTTGCCTTTGATCTTTACGCCTAGTATCTGATGCTCAATATTTTCGTAGCCCAGTTAATGTCACCCGTATTCGTGGTTATCGCTTGGTTTCTCTTGACAACAGAAAAACACGGTAAAAAAGACAAAAAAAAAATGCAGTGTTTGACGTATGTCTCCAGATTGTCTCGTCTTCTCCAGGATCTAACTGTAATATTTTCAAGATTTAAATTGTAACTCGAGGAATTTTTTCTTCTTTTTTAACCCTTTGACGGTTGTTGTTGTGCATGTACGAAGGTGGTTACGCATTTGAAAGTGGCCGCATAAACGCGAAACTGCGCGCACAGCGGAAGACGTTGCTATTTGTCTTGTGTTTGGCAAATTATAAGCGTTATAGTTGTACGGTATCTCGCTTTGCTGAGCTAGTTATAGTTTTCAAATTAGGCACCCTGTGCACGTGATGCTCACTTTGCATACAGGCCGCTCTGGCGATAGCGCCAATGAGAGCTCTGGTTGTTCCAATTCAGACTTTCAACGATTTTCGGAATTAAATTAGGAGGCGGCGCTCATCATCTGACAGAAAAAAGTTTTGTAAGGTACCTCCCATTATAAATCTGAAGCCATTGGAATGTCGCGAAAGCGGACGCGCCAGAATGAAACCGAATGAAGGAGAGACTGCAACTTTGCATCTTTAATATTTTTATTTGATGCTTCTAAACCTAAACAACTTTGCAAGCATTGTGCACCCGCCGGCAATATGAAGATGAACACCTTACCTGGTTTCTTGCCTGTTTTACGGCTCCCTAAAGCTATATTAACTCTCAACGTCTCAAATGGTACGTGGCTTGGGGTCTAAACTTTGCGTTCTAGCCCTCTTCTGGAAGAGAGCTTGTTCCAAAACTTGCAGGAGCGTCAAAAACAAGAAGGGCGCTGTTCACCTTCATATCGCTGACGGGTGTACGTGCTTTCGCTAGATAATAATATAAAAAAAAAAAACACGAAATGTCCATTGAACTTTTTTAATGCCATTACTTTGGAAACAAGACCTAATCACTGAAAAAAATATTCGAGAAAAGGGTTAACTACGTTTAAAACTTTAACTTGTCTCTATGGCTAATTTTCGTCAGATGAACGCAGGAATACTTCGCACGCGCGCGACAGCAACTTGTTCAATGTCAGTATCTCCTCATCGGCCATTAAGGCACGCCGCCCAGCTCTGGATATGCTTAAAGTTACTGGATCTTGGAAAAGTAGCGCCGTTGCCTTGCGTGCTTGCTAGCCGAACACAAACAAAATACTAACACACAGACACCAACTCCTCGCAAAGCGATTGGCTAATCGGTCTCTGTTGTTATGGCAAACTTTATTTCGGCCCCTTCAAATATTCCAAGGTTCGAAGGGTCGTTCTAACCCTGTCACCCCAAGATTACCACGGGGCATCATCGTACTGAAGGCGTTCATTGCCAACATAAGCGTCTTTGGCAATATGTGTGCTATCAACTTATAAATAATACCCATCTCCGTGGATCTCTCGCAATTATAGCGTTCTTCTTGCCTATTTCAGAACAGGAAATTTGTTTTTAATGGCTCAAGCACCGACACCTCATGTAGTGGTGGTACGAAGATGTACGCTTGTTTTGCCGGTGTGTGAATAGCAAAATCTCGGTATACAAAACACGTCTCTATAAATCTACCCGTCACCAGCGAATTTAAATCGGCTCACCAACAATAGAGAGGTCAAAGAGCGATTGCTCATTTCATGAGCCGAAATTGCGACCATACGCGGAGCTTGCCGCTACGTTTCTACCATCTGTAGTTACTTTAGATGAGCTTGGTGGCAGCTGTAGGAGGACAGGGCGGTTTATGGCACGAGGAAATCTTACGGAGACGTTTATGAACTAAAGTGCGAAGGTATAGTTGCGTCTTCTTTAAACGGAAGAAATTGGTGTCCGATTTGACATTCGTGCTTGGTGCCGGAAACTATTTTCAGGTTAAATATGATTTGAGTCTAAAGGCCCGTTCACACTCTTGCGACCGAGTACGACTGAGAGAGACGAGATCTCTTACAACTTCTTAAATGTTTTTAGAATGAGGGAACATACTGACATTGTGGCGCCATCTATGCGGTGACCCTGGAACTGCATTTCACAAGAGCGAAGGTTTTACGGGATTTTCGAGGTCAAATGTGCGTAATACCCATAGAATGGCTCGTTTATAACATTGTCAAAAGTTTTTCGAGCCAAGAAAGAAAGAATAATGCTCTCGAAATAAAAAAAAAATATGCCGGACCGCCGAGTTTACACTGCTTCCCAATAGATGGCGCCAGTGTGTTTTCTGGTTCAAGAAGTTTCAAGGAACCCAGGTTTAAGAGGTCGCAAGAGTGTGAACGGGCCTTAACATACCGAAAGCAAATGACGCCCTAATACGGGCTCAAAAATAAATTTTGTGAAAATCAAACAGTTGCATTCGAGGTGCCATAAAGGAACACCGAGGGAAGAGTGGACTGTGGTGAGCTAAAACGCGCCCAATGGGGATGGATGTTCAAGCATGCTAGCTGTTTCGCCCCGTTTACGTAAAGCGGGGTTTTCCTCAACAAGGGTGCCTAAAAGGTGAAGCAAACTCAAGGATCGGAAATTTTGTTTTCTGTCGGCCGTTGCAGCGGAATATAGAAGGGGTATGGGGAGCTCATGAGCTGGTCATCAACTTTCGTTTAATAAACGAATTTTGATCTTCGCATTTCTTGAAATCAACAACTTGGTAGAGGTCTTGATTTTCTAGTCTTAAATATCCGTTTATATTTACCGAGACGGGTTTTCATGCAAATTACATAAAATAACTAAAAAAAAAAAAAAACAAAACAAAAAACAACGAACAGGTTGGTGGCTTTTAAGAAAAACAATAAATAAAGAAATTCAGACGGAAGGTTAAAGCAAAAGGAGCGGAGGTTCCTAATATTTTTCCTTATAAAAATGTGCATTATGATTAACGAGAAAAGAGTCAAAGTACAGGCTAGCTGGTGGAAGTCAACCATTTCGTCGTTTACCCTGAGACTTCTGCTAGAACCTTTTCACTTGGAAACGTTGGGAGTGTCCGCTTCTTTTGTGATAGAGTGGAACCTGAAAAGTCACGGTGCAAAGGAGAAGTCGTATGTGATTGGTTGTTGACGACGAAAACGAACTATATAAGAGGAAGTTGTTGAAATAAACGTATAGCTGAGTTTGAGACCTGTCTGTTTTTTCTGCTACTTCTGCTCTTCGGAAAACCCCCCAGTCTCAGGGTAAACGACGAAATGGTGCATTATGACTTCTTTTTTTTTTTTTTCAGTTACAGCTTAGCAATAACTTGTTTGCTTCTCATTCTGGCACTTTTTACCGTGCCGGAGATTTAATAACGTACTCGTAAAAATGACCATTAACGTCATTTAAGTTTTGTTCATGCGCTTCCAAAATGCCTGTGTCATATTTTTCCCCCCTGAGCACTTGGAGTGCCAAATCCCGGCGAATTACGAAGGAAGCTCGGCGGATGAAACACTTATAACGTTTTCCCCGAAGAAACACTGCGTATGACGTTGCATGTGATTACGTTATTGCTCAGCATCAAGCGGCAGACCAATTTTAGGTTGAAACTTTTTTTTTTCAACCGTACTAATAGAGGAGATGTGTCCGTGGACTTTTGGGATTGGTTGTACGGCTATACTGCTCGCTGCTACGATGTTTTATTATTAACATTGGTACACATACTCTGCACAAACCTGCTCTCCGATTTGCGCGTCTGTCGTACACAAAAAACTTTTAAGAGTATGACATGTTTCAGAAGAGCCAGAAGTGTAACTAGTCTTAATTAGCAAAAAAAAAAAAAAAAAAAGTGAACGCATCAATATTATAAAATAATAAGTTCAACCTAAACGACACGCTCATTTCCCCTGCGATTAGGGTGAGCAACGAAATTTACGCGTTCTTCCTCACGTGGTTGAATGTGTCAGTTAATGGCCAAAAACGAACCATCCTATCGCAAAATAGATTAATCGTTTTGCCTTTCGTTTCTTCACAGCCTTCGTTTTGGAGCAAAAATGTTTTTTACTTATCAAAAATGAAGGCGTAATAGTATTTATTGTGCAGTCTCCGGCGTTATGAAAGACCCACTGGGAGCGCGTGGCCGAGGCGGTGGCTGGCGGGGGCGCTGCGAGCGCTCCGGGCAATTCCATTCTGCTTCGAGGGGAGGACGCTCACTCAAGCTCAGCACAAACTGATAGGAGCGCCCTTTAGCTGAGCCCCGAGTGAGCGTCCTCCCCTTGAAGCAGAATGGAACTGCCCGGAGCGCTCGCAGCGCCCCCGCCAACCCCCACCTCGGCCACGCGCTCCCAGTGGGTCTTTCATATTGCCGGAGACTGTACTTTTCATGTAGAAGCAATCCGGTCATGACGACGATTTATTTACATTTACGATTTGTGAAGCATGCAGTAAACCATGTTGGAGTTGCCAAAAGGCGAGGTCCATAACCTCTTCCGCACACTTTTAAGATATACTGTAGTTTTTGTTTTGTGAAGGTTGATATACAAATATACCCGTATCCAACTATTTAAGCATTGCCGATTTCCGTCGTGACCAGTTTTATGAATAACTTACTGATTGGCTGGGGACCTGGAACGTTACAGCGTGGAATGAAGTAGTGCCACCTCTCGTAGATGAGTCCTCGTGCGGCTGCAGGTGGGTTAAACGTTCAGCTGTTAATGATATGGCTTCAATTGTTGAATAAGTGCTGCACGTTCAAACGTAAGTGACTTGAGCTTTCTTAGTTAAAAATGTTCGAGGCTCCTGTATTTTCTATAAGATGACTCTAAAAACGTTTAGTCTGAAAGTACAGCAAGGAAACTGAAACAGGACATCGCCCAATGCATATAATGTTTCTGTCCATAGATATCCAAAATAGAAAAAAATGACATAGATATTTGTAACTAAAGTTGAATGTGTGTAGTTTTTTACTAGTAATTTTAATCATGAATGAAATTTTAGGTAAAAGTGGCAGCAATTCGTGTATAGAATTTGCATGTCTTTTTCTAAGCACATCTTATACGGATCCGACATGATTGATTCGGGGCTGTTTAGGCAGCAATATTTTGATGTCATTTATACAGCTTTGTGTATGTATGTATAGTAATGAGTTTTTTTTAGGAGGTGTCGTTGATGTAAGCAGAAATAATATCGTAAGAGTGCAGGCGAGCTACTGAATAATGACAATGTTGGATTAACCTGAGACTGGGGTAGAGGATAAAGACTGAAACATAGAAGAGATGGAAAATAGACGAGATGACGTCGTCCTGCCTTTTTTGTCTCTTCCACGTTTTCATGTTTCTTCTCTACTCCAGTCTCAGGTTAACCCAACGAGGGTAAGCAGAAACCTTTATAATTTTAAGACCCTTTTACAAACCTGGTGCGAGCGGTGTAAATTGAAATATCAACTTTTTATAACCCACTTTGCGCTTTGATTTTCTTTTCAAATGAGTATAAAAAGAAAGCTGGCGTTGAGGAACAGGAAATTTTTTTTTTATTTCTATCGAGACATTATTTTAAATTTCTTTGAAGTGTTCAGTGCTGCATGTGAATATTGTTCGTGCTGTTTTTTCTTTTATTTCACTGTCTCGCCACTTCTGAGATTTGTGAGATTGTCATAACGAGTTCGCGTTCTTATCTCAAGCGACAAGGAATGACATAAATATCTACTACCCAGCAATAATTATGATTTTGTTGGTTTTCCTACGAACGTTTATTTTGGCAGTATACACAACAGGCAAACGGAAGACTAATACTATTTGCGGACATTACAAAAGTAGCAATATGGCGACCCGAGAAATTATCCGAAACGTTGCTTAGGTACAAAAACGTTATTTGTCTTGGCATTTTGAATGTTTTCGAGAGTAAAACACGTTTGTTAACAAGGTACAGTTAACGTGTCTTAAAAAAAAAAAAATAGACGTTTACGATTCCCTGGAATGCCGAATTAGAGCGCAGCTCTTGAGGAGGAGGAGGGGAGGGTACGGAGCGGAGGGTACGCCCTTCTTTCTTCCACGCTAAATTTAGCAGGAAACATTTTCCGCTAGAAATTTTTACCCTCGTGACGTCGCACGTGACATCACGAGGCTAAATTTAGCGAGAATATTTTCCGCCATATTTAGCGGAAAGTTTTCTCCGCTAAATTTAGCCGGAATATTGGCAATGTTAGATGCGTGTGACGCCACACTTGACATTATACGTCACATATTTCCTATAATAACGTCACACGTGACGTCACGTGTGACGTCATGAGGGTAACCCTTGTGACCTTCGTGAAGGTAACCCTCGCAACCCTTGTGAGGTTAAATCTCGTGCCCCTCGTCAGGGTAACCCTCGTAAAGGTAACCCTCGTGAGGGTAGCCCTCGTGAAGGTAACCCTTGTGACCCTTGTGAGGGTAACCCTCATAACCCTGTGAAGTCACACGTGACATCACGTGTGACGTCATTATGGGAAACATCCCATAATGCAACGCGCGGCTACGCCGACGGTGACGGCGTCGCCGCTCAAGCCAGAAATGGGCGCCTAAGAGCTGCGCTCTAATATGTCTTGGTTGTTTGTTTGTTTACAGGAGAAGTTTAGTGACATTAAACACGTTGCCTACAGGTGAGAGTCCGTCAACAAGAGAAAGAAAACATATTAGATGAAGAAGAAATGATAACTTCCTTTATGTTTGTAAAACGAAACAACGTGGGTAAGTAAGTGTACTGTACCTGTGTCACGATTTAACAACAGGAAGAATGTAGCACGAACATTAGTATGTCAATGCACGAATAGTGATTAGGAACTCGTTTAAAGTTTTCATAAACAAATCACCGTGAAATGTTAGTTACGCTTGAAAAATGTGGACTTCCACCCGTAACATATTCCTTCAAGTGTGCTTCTGGAAGCGGTTAATGGAATGACGCACGGTGCGATTTAAACAGTTGTGGCCCGGGGACAATATTTCTTAATTATTACGAAGGTTTATATTACTACGCATCCCCCAATGTCGAGCTGATCTTTATATATGATTTGCACGCGACGTCATTGCACCGTACCAACGTTCATTCCTACGTGTCCTTGCCGAGAAAAACGAATTCGGTGGTGCGGTTATATGTTCCCGAAGCTACGCGCAGCAGCGGAGTCTTCCGCAATGTCCGTTGATGTGATATGAGGGAAGGCATTTACAGGGTGTCCCCGGAGAATCTTTTAAAGCTTTTAATTGTTTTACCGCAAAATTAAACTATGCAACATTAAACTCCATTGGGTGGGAGAAACAGCATTGGCTTATGCGTTGTTTATTTCTGCGGTGAAGAAAACCCTGTAAAGTTTAGAAATTACAGAGAAGATGCAAGCGAGCTGGTGAACTTTCAACATTGTAAAACCCGAGACGTAGGACAAAAGAAGAAGAAAAAGGGGGACAACACAGACACAGGTCTCAACGATTAAAACCTGTGACTGTGTTGTCCCTCTTTTTCTTCTCATTTTGTCCTACGTCTCGGGTTTTGCCTGTATAGTTTTTTGAGAGACACCCTGTATATGATGCATTGCAAATGTTAATCAGGAGTATGATTAACCCCTCATAGCGATTCTCACACTCACCAGTGATGCGAAGGATTAGTGGAATGATGAGCATCAATTTCTGAGTCATGTTTTGAGATCAAGGCCAGGCCGGAGCGTAGTTAGCAGTAGAGCGGGCTTCTACAGGCAGTGTGGTTTGCTAGGCCTCATTGCCTCGCGGCAGGCTCTCAGGCACACTGCACACTGAAAAGCACGAACAAAGGAATCGATCGTACATAAAGGAGTTTTGCTACCAATCGGCATGCAAGGACCGCCTTTTCAGAGTACTGCAGCCTACCAGCGAGTCATCTGGAGTAGAGCTGGTGGATTAGAAAAATATTCTTGAACCCTTTTACCTTACTTCACCCAATTCGTAAACCCTCGTGTAGTTCAAGTAATATGTGATCATTAGCGTAACTTATGGCTAAAAAAATATTTTCGTCTGTGAAGAGCAACACTTACGTCGGTGTTAAATGGATGTGGCGAAGCTCACTACCAGCGAACGCTCTTTACCATGCATATTCCCGTGTTACAACGCTGCAACGCATAGTAGCGACACTTCGGCCATGAATGGATGGATGGATCCTAACGGCTGTAGCCTTTATAACGGGCGGTAACTTGCGCCAGCTAGCTTGCTGCTTAATATCTCGATGCTTAATATCATTGTTGCCAGTTATCTGAGACTTTATTTAAAGTAAAAAAAGATGAGCTTCACTTTCCCTCACAATTATTAAAACAATCCGCGACAAAAAAGAAAAGAAAACAAAATACAGACATAACGATATCACCTGAGGACGCCGTATATAAAACTCGAAAAGTCGCATTTTCGAATCGTCGCTATCTCTAATCGCTCCAGTTCTGCACCAAGCATCAACATGTCGGCGCTCACAAGATAACCCGAGAATGATGCGACGATACTTTCACCCTGTACTCCACGCCACAGCTCAAAATGTGGCTGACGTATGTTCCGTACGACTGTAAAATGGCATGGTACCATTAACATTAACATTAATAATTTAAAATTATTAGAAGTTAACAACCACCGAGCTATCTCGACAGCGCAGCACGCGCGTGTTGGCCGCTTCGGCAGACAAACAAGGCACCTGCCAAACACATGAACGGTGTAAACAGTACCGACAAGAACTTTTACTGGAACGGCATACGGCTGTACGAAGTCGACAATCTATTGAAATATTCAACAGCGACGCGCTCTCTCGCAGATGGTGGAGCAATGCTCCGCTTCACTTCAAGATAATTAGAGCACTGCGAGGGTCACAAGGGCAAGGTGTAGCCTACAGTCTGCTGAAGTTTTGGAATAGCAGCACAAGCCCCTCCCAGAAGGTTTTCTGTTTGTCATGATTGATGGCTTCCTTCTCTCCACTCGCCTCTTCTCTTGCTTTCACTCTGCTAAAGTGACAGGAGTGGAGGACTGGGGGGGGGGGGGGGGGGAGCTAATCCTGCTCTTCTCAACCTGCACCAGAGTATAACGTGCACCCTTTGAAGGTGCTGTTACTGTTGGCATTTCCTGCATGCTGCTTTAAAGTACCATGGCGCTCTTGAAAAAAAAACAAAAAAACTTTTTGCTGTTTTTTATTGCAAACATAAACTTTATATTGCCAAACGCTCAGTCTCCACCAAATGTAGCTCTAGCGGTTCGGACCACATGCCGATGTTTGAAAGCTTGACGTTACCTGGTTCAAAGGTCACAGGCGATTTTCGGATCTTTTTTCTATGGGAAAATGGCAGCCGACGTCCACCGACGTCGAATGGCGTCCAACCCCGGGAACGGGCCCCATTTTCTTGTTTATATATTTTGACAAAATCACTTATAACCTTTGAGCGAGGAAGCGGTTTCGAAACATTGGCATCTGCTACGAACCTCTAGAGCTACAATTGTGTGAAGACAACCTTTGGCGGTGTCGTTTACTTTTGCGACAAAAACAAACAAACAAACGCTAAATCATTTTTTTTGGGGGGGGGGGGGGGGTGCACACACTACTACAAGCTCTTGTTCTTATCCTCCTCTGAGTTTGGTGGCTTGTGACGTGCGTGGGGTGGGTGTAAGTAATCGATAATTTTCTGTTAGAAAAGAAAAAAAATAAATCCTACCCGAAGATAGCAGGCGAAGGCAGCAGATGACATTTGTGCTGAGCGGCCCGACAACCGCAGTTGGAAGCTTCTTCCTCTTCTTTCAAATGTTGTAAATAAAAGGAAGAGTAATTCGTTGTTTCAGAAGCGACATGCCTATTTCAAGAAGTCAAAAGTCAAGCTTGTTTATGGGTGTCCAGAAAACCGGCAGCGATTCCCGTGTCACACGACACCAGCTAAAATGTATTTTTAGCGAAAATTCATTTGGTGTCAGACGGTTACCCTAGATCCGACATTGTCGGTTTAAAGGGTCCATGGAACGATATTTTGTAGGAATGCTTCTCACTTTGCACAAACATGTTGGCACAAACATGCTGACTGGAACCCAAACATAATCGCACGCGACGCCCCGGCCCAAGAAGCTTCTTTGTCGCCGAGTAATTTCAGCTTATTTCAGCCATAAAAAGCGGAAGTTATCTTTCAGTCTCTCCATCGCACAACTTGACGGCGATGATGTGGGAATTGCATGGTTGGTATGGTCAACTAGTGCCTCTAAATAGGGAGTTTTCGTAGATCGTTTTGTCCTTTCCGCAACGCTATCCGCTACGCGCTACGAGACCCGCTAACAGAGGCATAGCGGAGACTCAAAAAAGTGCTTTCGTAGACCGTTCTCTGCGGGTTACGGTACTGCGATTATGACAGCACCACTAGCGGTCGTAAAAAACACTATATAAAACATTAAACGCATACTATTATTGCAACCACGTATTTGTTTTGTCAGAGTACCTCTTTTCGTACACAACACATGGTTAATTTACGAGTATGAATGTTAATCTTTTTTCTATATAAATTCTTGGTGACACATCTTGCCAGCTTGCGGTAATCGAGCTTTGCTTAAAGCCAGATTCAGTTCGGCCAAGCCAATCCTCTCTTTGTCAACGTAGCTTCCATACTTCCATACTTCCACAGGTTCTCCCATGGCATCAAGAAAATCGCCAACAAGTTCAACATCAATGTCGTCTTTACTGCTCCCAATAAGCTTGGCAACTTGTGTAAACAAGTCAACCCACCTGATTTCCACCGAACAGTATGCTGCACCAAAAACCATCAGAACAGGTTCTTTGAGTGTGCCGATGAAGTGGTATACTCATTTCGCCTTTCGTGCGGGAAAGTGTACATTGGTCAGACCGGACGATGCCTTAATGATAGGCTTCGGGAACACAACAACAGCTCCAGAGCCAACTCAGGGCATCTAGGCATACACTGCCGGGATTGTGGGTGCGACGTTCATTTGCCATCCTGTACAATTTTAGGTAGGAACAGAAACCAATTAACTCGAGAAATTATCGAAGCAGAACATATCGCCAGGAACTATAACAACTGTATAAGTACACCATCTTTACACCTGACAGAAAAAGAGAAAACATTTTTAGGCATCTAGGAGATCGGTGCGCGTGATTTGGGAAATCCGGTGGTGCTAGAGGTTGAAGAAGACAAAGTTATATAAAAAGAGCTGTCAGTCAGCGCGGTTTGTTTGAATTTTGCTTTATTTTTCGTATGAAAGGTGTGAGTGTTGTTTTCTATAGTGCGCTGTGGTGTGTGTAAACTCTCTTTGTCATCTCGCGCTCTTTTATGTACGTGGACGCGTTCTCCGCCAATTCCCGAAGATGCAGCGGCTCAGCTCTCTTGAGGACCAACTTTTATTGTCCAGTTTAAGTTGGAGGGAAATAGAGGATGTGTATTTGATGTTTTCGGAACCGCCAAGGCGGTGTTATGTTATTTCACTGATGTGCGCCACTGGTATGGTGTACATAGGCGTAGACTTCGAAGGGGGCATCGGGGCTCGTGCCCCCCCCCCCCCCCTCCCCCGGGCCCGGGGCATGATCCTTACCGAGACGCTGCTTACGTGCCATGTAACGAGCTTCTCGGTCGTGTATCACTACTGCGTGATGCACGTTAAAGACCCCATGCTAGCGGTTGTAGCGCACTGGCTAAATTTCTCATCTACAGCTGGGAGACTCGTCGGCCCTGTGAGGCAGACCAAGTTCTAGGCTGTATAAACACACACACAACCCAATTTTTTTAACGAGCTTCTAGTAGTGGCATGTAAACAAAATAACGCCCACGTTGCCTTTATTGACAAAATACATGGAAAATGGAATCCCAGCTTGCTTTCATTAGCTTCAATCTCCAGTTCTGGCGAAAAGGTAACGCACAGCACCCCCCCCCCCCCCCCCCGCCCCCAAAGAACTTCCCAGCTTGCCCCCCGCCCCCCCCAAAGAACTTCCCAGCTTGCCCCCCTTCCCCCCCCCCCCCCCCCCCCCCGGGAAAATGGAAAGTCTACGCCGCTGAGGGTGTAGTTTTGGAATTCGTATTCTATAAACGGGGAAACACTATTGCTCTTCTTTTTTTTTTTTTAAGCGCTATCGACTGTTGATCAGCAAAGAATTTTGTCTTTAGCCTTTAGACTTTATTTATTTCGCTCTGGAGCGCCGCGGCACCGCGGAAATGCGCCATCTCGTACCATGGAGGCCCGCGGTACCGCGTCTAGTGAACATGATAATGTCATGAGTTTATACATGCATAATGACGACGACATAGATTGTTGGTATTGGGGAGGTTGGCAGTCCTATTCGCAGAAGTCCAGATTTCGTGGAGGCGGGTTGGGCGGGTGAGAAGCGAGCTGGGGTATCTGGCACGCCGTTCGATCGGTGCATAAAGAAACCCCAGGAACATGATGGCGCTATTGCTCACTGGGGTCCACTGGGGTTGAAGCATCAGGCTTCAAGGAGGTAGCCCAGCCAAAGTAGAAGCTGCCGCCTCCGAGGCACCAGGGCTCAGATTGAGGCACCGCCGTCGCCCGGTGTGTCATCTTCTCAACGTCTTCGTCGTTGTGTTCTTTATTTATACGCGTACATATGTATAGATACAATAAGATAGATAAAAATACACACAATCGAGCGGTCAGCGTATCTTGAGATCCGCTATTTCGTAAAGCGCCTC